TCTCAATTAAGAAGGAGAGAAAGGATAAGGGATAGAATTCAGAAACAATTGTGGAGAGTGGCCTTAGAGAATAGAGACAGTTGGAATGAGAAAGGGATGTGCAGATGTCGGTAGGTTTTTATGTTTGATGGTTGAAGGAATAAATGATAGGGGAAAACAAGCATATTTATGAATGAAGAAATGTAAATCAAGACAAATATCAGTACTAGTCCTAAGTAGCAGGTCGTTAATATAGCCTACATTATACCTTATAATATATATACATATAATTACATATGCTATATAATATATATTATAAAAACCTTGTAAGCTCCTTAAATAACTTGGAGAAGAGATACAGTAGTCCCCCCATCTTTGTGGTTTTGCTTTCTGCAGTTTCAGTTACTTGAGGTCACTGTGATCTAAAAATATTAAACAAAATTCCAGAAACAAACAATTCACAAGTTTGAAGTTGTGCACGATTCTGAGTAGTGTGATGAAATCTTGTGCCATCCCCTCTGTCCCAGCAGGGATCTGGATCATCCCTTTGTCCAGCGTATTCACGCGGTGTACACTCCCTGCCCAGTAGTCACTTAGTAGCCGTCTAGGTGATCAGATCAACAGTTAGTGTATCACAGTGCTTGTGGTCAAGTCATTCTTTTTTTACTTAATAATGGCCCCAAAGCCATTAACATAACTTTTATTACAGTGTGTTGTTATAACTATTCTATTTTATATTAGTTATTGTCATTAATCTCTTACTGTGCCTAACTTATAAATTAAACTTTATCGTAGGTATATACCTATAAGAAAAATGCAGTGTATATAGGATTCGGTACTATTCTCCATTTCAGGCATCCACTGGGAGTCTTAAAACGAATCCCCCATGGATAAGGCAGGGGGACTACTGTACTTTGAAATTTCTACATAATACTACATTTTCCTGAGTACTACTCTGTAGATCAAGATGATCTAGTTACTGGTAAAAGGAAGTGCCAAGTATATTTCATTCTAGACACGTCTGAGAAAAACATTTGGAGAAAAAGTTTCACATTACATACTTGTATGATGAAAGGTTTTAAACTCTTAGTAATGTCTCAGGAAAGGGACCTGAGAGTTACTGTAGACTCTTGGCTAAGAATGTTGGACATTTGGGGTGTTTGGGCAAAAAGGCCAATTAAGTACATCCTCAGGAAGAAGCCAGGGCAGGAAATAGCTTCAGCCCTGTTTAGAGTCTTTCTATATATTAAAAATCCTAGTGCATCTGCACACTGTACACTACATCCAATAGGCTCTTCAAGAAAAACAGCAGAGCAGGACATGTTCAAAGAAAGGATGACTAAGATGACAACAGGGAATTTCGTAAACATAAGATCAGACAGACAAGGCCTGCATTCATCCATACATAGGTGGACAGGGAAAAGAGGGGGCAGAATTAAGATCTTTGAAATCAAAGGGAGAATGAGAGGAGAAACAGACATTAGTTTCCAGACATTAGACTTAAGACAACCTCTTAAAGAATAAAATAGTCAAATTTTATTTAAACCAATTAAAAAGAAATAAGGTTTTAGAACTTATTTCCCTGGAAGTAAGTTTGGAGGATGAGCTCAGTCTGTGAATGACTGAAGCATATAGGATTTAACTTGGGCAGGAAAGGTGCTGTCATCCTAAGCTCCTTGGCCACTTCTTCCTCAGTCAAACCAAGTTGACATCCTTGGATTTTCCAGCCTCGATCCTTGGTCCTGGTTCACAGGCCTCAGACCTGGAAATGCCAGAAGCCGGGGAACATCCAAGAATAAAAAGACAGTCAGCCCTCCTAGGTGTGGCCAGGCCAGTTCTCTCTCCCAGCTTGGTCAGTCTGGGAATCCTAACATCCCTAACGCCTTTCCACCTACACCCTCCCCTTAGCCCTCTCCTCAGGTTTAGATTAGACTTACTGTCGACCCATCCGCCTCAGCCTAATTTCTGTGGGTCCTGGTGTAAGGGTTCTATCAGCCCTTAGTCCATGTCCTTCACTGCTGCTCACCCACCTGGTCATGTACTTATGAGGCCAAACAGCTGTGAAGGGTAGAGTCTTGGGATTATCTGATGTTATAACATCCTGCCACAGGAAACCTCTGATCGTTGGAAATGAAACCTTGCCCCTGGTCCCAACTGCACCAGCCTTTCTCACTTGGTTTTAGACTGATCCTGACTCTGCTATTGTCTTATCCTCACAGAAAGTTGAGGAAGCGAGCGGCCAAAGCCTCCGCCCGACGCCCCAAGCCCCTTGTAAGGTAATGGGGCAAGAGCCCTGGGACCTCCTGCTCGCCCCTGTGGCCCCAGGAGGTGGATGGATGGAAGGCAGCCTATCCATGTCCATCCCAAAACCCAAGCTGTTGAAGTAAAGGATATGACTGGAAAATGGCCCTTCCAGGATGGGAGGGGAGGGGAGGCAGGCATGGGAATGGGCGAGCTTCGATGTTAGGAAGCACAAGGAGGAAGTAGTGTAGGAATGGCTGAGGAACAGCCTCCTCATCTTTACATTTCCCCCAATAGCTCAGACTCCATCCTCAGCCACCTGCATGCTTCCTCCCCTTCCCCCAGTCTTCACCTCCCTTAATTCACCCACATTCCCATTCTCTCTTCTGCCTTAACTTTCCTCTTATCTCCTCACCCACCTGGACTGACATAACTAGATTTCTTGTCACTGTTGCTGAATCCAGAGAGCAGCGTGAGATCGTAAAATACAGTTCAGTGGTGTGCAGCAGTCAATGTTTGTGGCAAATAGGGCTGCCTTCACTTTACTCCTTCTTCCCACATTCTGCATAAAGGATCCTTCCCAGAAACAGAAAAAAATCATCCTCTGTCTTTCCTGGGCCATGAACCTAACCACTGTCTCCATTAACTGCTTTCTCCTTTTTTCAGACCAATCACCAAGCATAAAGTCAAACCCAAACCCCAAGTGGGCAGGGGGCCAATCAAGAGGTAAATAAAGTTCTGGCTGGGTGGAGAGAAGAGGGAGCATCTAGTGATGACCCAGGGGATCTGCTTGCCCTTATGTTGGTCTCTGCAGAATTGTGCTTGCCACAGGATTTTTAAAAATCTCTGTATCAGTCCATCCTTGTCCCACACGCTCATTTATCTTCTACCAGTGAATTCTGGTAGATACTCTGGCACTTTTGTCCATCAGATGCCACGCTTGCCTCTTCCCCAAGAGGTTTGTCTAAGGGATCAGTGTTCCCATCCTACCTTTATCTGATTCAATTTTAAGAATAAGTGCTACTGGCTTAGGGGTAAAACTTAATGGGATCAAATTGACAGCCCCTTCCCCTCTGGCTCAGTTGACAAGATTAGGCTCCCAGATGCATAATTTTCCTCCTGGGCTTCTTCAGAACCCAAGGGAATGCAAAGCTTCTGACCCCATTGATTAAATCTCGCTAGGCTTCCTAAGGCCATTTGCACATGCAAAATGTCCCTGATAACTTCTTCAGCAGTGACTGAGGTGCAAAGAATTCATTCCTTTTCATTATCCCCTCCTCTCTTCAGCATGTTCTAGTAGTCCCCGGGTTCCCCTCATGACCCAGCTCCTCCTTCTGGTGGCTTCAGAGGAGCTTGGAATTTGGGTTGTTCTTGTAGTGCCTTTTAGCTTAGGGTCATATTTGCCCATCACCATACCGTGGGCTTCCCTAACCCCCACATTAAAGTGCACACTGCTGTTTTCACTTTGTCAGTTGTAGAGAAAGTGGAGGAGGGAGTTCAGAAGAGAGATGTCTTTTTCCTGCGATGGCCTCTTTAACTTTTATTTTCAGCCGAACAGGACTTTGGGAGAGTACCTAATCTCTTTCCTGAGCTTCCAAAGGCATTCTGTCAAGTCTCTAGGCTTCTTTTGTCTGTTGTATTTATAAACACTTTCTTCTTTCTGTGTCTTCCTGGCCAATGGCCTCAAGTTATCATATTCCTTCCTTCCTCTGACATCAAGTAATGGGGCACATTACCGTAATAATTCACTGGCAAATCAGCCTCCCAGGCCCACTCCACCAATATCAGGGTTCGGCTGGTTCCCTTCATCTCTGGACTGTTCTGAGAAGAAAGTAGTTTCTCTCATCACAAACCTCACTGCAATCTCTCATTCCGTTGGCACTGATAAAGCCCCTCAAGCATCTCTCTGCAGTATTTCCAAGTTTTAATATCTCTAGTTTAATTCAATTTTCCTGCTTGGGTGGCTATGGAACATTCTCTCTTTAAGTTGCAGAAGCACAGACTGCCTCATTAAAGACTCAGAGCTTGGCTCAGGCCTGGGGATGTGTTTACCATTCTGTTCGTATTCACTCTCCTTCTCTGGCTATGTGGTCCTTCTAACTTTAGTCTGTCTTGCGTTTATAAATCTTCTTCCCTCTATATGCCAACCCGTCTTTTGCGTATCCACCATCTGGTCTGTTCTACCCATAACTGCCCATCATACTCTGGCCTGCAGAGCCCCTGGCCTGGAAGTCTCTCTGGCCTCTGAGGAGCCATTGAGATTCAAGACTTACTCTTACTCCTTTGCATCCTGACTCATTCAGATATTCCAGTCTTGGCACAATAGGAGGATCTGCTCGCTCTGGCTCTTCGGGCTTCCTGTTTGTGTCAGCTGCCCCCTCCTGCCCATCTCTGCCTACTGGGCAGTTTTAGCTTCCCATCCTCTTTGCACGGCAGCCTCAACCTCAGTCAGCCTCAGTCTCTGTTAAGGTCAGCAGCCTAAAACCATTTGGAACAAGGTTTCTATCAGGCAAGTTGAGACTTATCACCTTCCCATAGGGTTCTTCTGCTGCAGAAAGTCCCCAGAGACCCTCCTATCTGGGTAACCAGGGCTCTTTCAGCCTGAAAACTCACCACTCCCTTTGTCTCTTCGGAGTACAACGTACCAGAGAAGAGGAGAAGAGGAATAGAGCGGTTGTGAAGAGTTGGGGGATGGTGGAGACATGGAGTGGGAGGTGGGTTGTGGGCAAAGAGGCAGGAGCATTGTTTTACCCTACTGCTCCCCACTCCTGTCCCCCCAGGCTGCTGGCCCAGCGGCAGCAACACTCCTTTGGTCTGCATGGGGTGGCGTGCGTGGGCACGGAGGCCCACCTCTCCCTCTGCACCTTGGAGTTCTATCGTGCCAATGACACCACCAGGTGCCCTGGGGGGGCCCCTGCGGTGGTGAGCTGTGTGCCAGGTCCTCTCTACGCAGCATCCAGTGGCCAGAAGAAGCAACAACAGTCGAAGCCTCAGGGGGAGGTGTGTGAGACAGTGACTGTGACCTTCCCCACCCCAGGTGGAGAATCCCCTAGCCTGGCCACCCCTAAGCACAGCCCTGACCTGAGGATAGAAAAGAACCCTCCAGGGGGTGGGCCACAGATCTGAGACCCCACCCCTCCCACCCACCAGAGTCTCATTCATCTCCAGGTCTGCTCAGCCCTTTCTGCACTGACATTCCCATTCACTGCCATTGGACACATCTCTCTTCTCTATAGGCCCGAGTGCGTCTAAAGGGTGGGGCCCACCCTGGAGAGGGCCGGGTGGAAGTCCTGAAGGCTGGCACGTGGGGCACTGTCTGTGACCGCAAATGGGACCTACAGGCAGCCAGCGTGGTGTGTCGGGAGCTGGGCTTCGGGAGTGCTCGAGAGGCTCTGAGTGGTGCCCGCATGGGGCAGGGTGAGAGGGATTAAGGTGGGAGGGACAAGGAAGGAGGTACACGCTCCTGCGGGATACAGTCCTTGGGAAGGAGACCCCTGGGCAGGCAGTAAAGGCCCAACTGTAATCTCCTGATCTTTGACCTCTGACCTTAGGCATGGGTGCCATCCACTTGAGTGAAGTTCGATGCTCTGGACAGGAATCCTCCCTCTGGAAGTGCCCCCACAAGAACATCACAGCTGAGGACTGTTCCCATGGCCAGGATGCTGGGGTCCGATGCAACCTGCCCTACACTGGGGTAGAGACCAAGGTCAGTCATACTTTCTACCTTGGCTCAGGTGTCATATCTTATCCAGTCCTGGTCATGCTCTGCAGTGTGATGGCCTCCAGCCCACTGTCCTAGGCCCCTGCCACTCTGGATCTCCCTCCTGACACCACCACTGCTAGCCCTTTATGTGCCTCTGAATCACCCTTCAGCCACATGCCTGCTAGTCTCCCACTACCCTACCACAAAAGCTTCCCCAGCTCTTCCATTCTGTCACTACAGATCCGACTCAGTGGGGGCCGCAGCCGACATGAGGGGCGAGTAGAGGTGCAAATAGGGGGACCTGGACCCCTTCGCTGGGGCCTCATCTGTGGGGATGACTGGGGCACGCTGGAAGCCATGGTGGCCTGTAGGCAACTTGGACTGGGCTATGCCAACCATGGCCTGCAGGTGAGTGGGAAAGAGGAGAAGGGAACCAAGGTAGTTGCTTCCAAAGCCTGTGCTTGGGGCAGAGGACTGGAAATTAGTCCTTTGGCCCAGGAGGCTGGATGGTGGAGCCTCACAAAAACACCTACATATGTCCCCAGGAGACCTGGTACTGGGACTCAGGGAATATAACAGAGGTGGTGATGAGTGGAGTACGCTGCACAGGGACCGAGATGTCCCTGGACCAATGTGCACATCACGGTACCCATATCGCTTGCAAGAGGACAGAAACCCGCTTCACTGCTGGAGTCATCTGTTCTGAGAGTGAGTAATGAGCAAGCTCGGGAAGGGACGTTCTGGGCCACCCCTTTCAAAGAAAGAGAGGGCTGTAATGTAGAAGGGCACTGCTTCCATGTGGAAAACCAGCCTCACAAACACTATGGGGGATAGAAGCATCCCATCTGTCCCCATCCTTCAACAGTGACTTCTAATACTCTCCTTCCTTCCTGGGTGCAGCTGCATCAGATCTGCTGCTTCACTCAGCACTGGTGCAGGAGACTGCCTACATCGAGGACCGACCCTTGCACATGCTCTACTGTGCTGCAGAAGAGAACTGCCTGGCCCGCTCAGCCCGCTCAGCCAACTGGCCTTATGGGCACCGGCGTCTACTCCGATTCTCCTCCCAGATTCACAACCTGGGACGAGCTGACTTCAGGCCCAAGGCTGGGCGCCACTCCTGGGTGTGGCACGAGTGTCATGGGTGAGAGGGTCGAGTAGAAGGGCAAAGCCATTGGGGACGGGGTAAATCTGCTGGGATCAGGGAATGAAACAGGGGTTCCCTTGTCTTCACAGGCATTACCACAGTATGGACATTTTCACTCACTATGATATCCTGACTCCCAATGGCACCAAGGTGGCAGAGGGCCACAAAGCTAGTTTCTGCCTAGAAGACACCGAGTGTCAGGAGGGTGAGTTGGACCAGTCTAAAATGGACCACAGTAACTCCAACCCACAGCCTTGCCTCACACTGATATATACGAATCCCTTCAGATGTCTCCAAAAGGTATGAGTGTGCCAACTTTGGAGAGCAGGGCATCACCGTGGGTTGCTGGGATCTCTACCGGCATGACATTGACTGTCAGTGGATTGACATCACAGATGTGAAGCCAGGAAACTACATTCTGCAGGTGCCTGGGGTCTGAGATTTCTAGCTAGCAAGTGGGAAGAGTATTTATCAAAGACACCTTAGAATTGCATTGCCTTTCTCTCACAGGTGGTCATAAACCCCAATTTTGAAGTAGCAGAGAGTGACTTCACCAACAATGCAATGAAATGTAATTGCAAATATGACGGACATCGCATCTGGGTGCACAACTGTCACATTGGTATTTGGTGGGAAGAATAGCCCAGGAAGACAGGGATGGGAGGGAAAAGCCTTTACTCGCTTCTCCTTGTTTCTATGTCTTCCCACCCACGGCTGTATTTCTCAGCGCCCCCACTTCTACCTACCCTTCCCCAAGATGGGTCTGCTTTCCTGCCCAAACCACCCATTCACCTTGCAGGGGATGCCTTCGGTGAAGAGGCCAACAAGAGATTCGAGCGCTACCCTGGCCAGACCAGCAACCAGATCATCTAATATGCCACCACCCACCTCTGCACACCACCACTGGCCCCTAATGGCAGGGGTCTGAGGCTGCCATTACCTCAGGAGCTTACCAAGGAACCCCTGATGTCAGCAGGCCCCTTACACTCATCCAATGTGCACTGTGGATGTGGAACTGTAAGCCGATGTTATTGCCCTCCTTCCTAGGCCAGCTGTCTGGATCTGAAGCCAAACATGGGGAATCCTGGATCCCAGACCCAGCACCAAGCTGAGCAGGCCACAAAGAGCAGCACCTGATTAACTGGCCAGAATGACAGAGAGCAGCTCATTTTCTTGAATAGGGAGGTCAGGATGGTCAGTTCCAGTATCTCCCCTCAGTTCGGGGGGATACAGCTTTACCTCTAGCCTTTTTGTGGCAGAAAAGATCAGCACACCCCCCATTTTTGACTATAACATGTTGCTAAGTATAATTTTTATTTTATATAAAAAGTGTTTTTTTGATTCCTCAGAGCCCAGGGATTGGTGCTGGTGGTTGGAGGGACCTGCCCCCCCACTGGTTCATTTAATCCTCTGTCCAGATGCCCTCAGAGCCTAGGCCAGGAAAGCAAAGTAGAAATCAGAGCAGTAGCCTCATACTCTTCCTGATCTATTCATTCTGTGACTTCAGGGGTCACATATAAGGTCAATGTTTCTGGTCCCCGCCGGACCCGCACTGCCAGCTGGGATTGGGTTCGAACAGCTTCATAAATATCTTCAGCATTTTGTACCAGCTGCTCCCCAATGGCCAAGATCACATCACCCGGCCGCAGACCAGCCCTATTGCAAAAGATGGACAGAGAAAGGAAAAAGTAGACAGACCAGTTCAAGGACACATGTGCATCTCACCTACCCCCACCTCTCAGTGCAGTCTCTCCCTCACCGGTGTGCAGGGGAGTCCAGGATGACTTTATGGATGAGCACGCCATGCTGAACATCAGGAAAGCTTGGTTCTCGAAGCTGTAGTTCAGCAAGGATGCTGAAAGGACACAGGCCACCCTGTTAACCACACCAAAGTGCTCTCCCCATCTTGGGTTCACCTCAAATCTCTCATCAACACACTGACAACTGTATGGATAAGGTATGCACTAGGTACTCCAGATACAAAGGCAATTCATTTCTGCATTCTAGTAGTTAGGAAGTGGGACATATATATAAAAGGTACCTAATTCCAAATGACAGATGGTGTTAAATCAGTAGCACTAATCTCATTCTAAAATCCTAAGAGAAGCTTTTAAAGAGGGAGTAGAACTTAAGCTGAGCCTAGAAGGATGGGTCTGATATTTAACTATATGAAATAAAAACAACTCAAATAAAAACCTGAGGGTAGGAAATCAGGTTGGCTGCAACAGAATATATACATGTAGGAAGCCAGGTCTGGAGATTAAAATGAAGACAAATGGAAAATGGCCCCTAAACACCAGGTTAATAGATTGAAAGTTTTAAAGCAGTAATGGGATGAAATCAAATTGGTGGTAGGTGTACAAAATGGAGTGGGATGAGAAGACAGCTCTTCTGATAGCTGCAAATATGAGGCAATTCACCATAGATAAAGAGAAAATTGAGAACAAAGCTCAAGAGAAGTGCCAGTTGTGCACCACTGAGTATACTGGTGGTCCTACATGTCACTACCCCTAAAGGTCATACCTGGGAGTCAGGGTCAGCATCATCACCCCAATGTATCGGCGCTGGGACCCACTGATTCCAAACCAGGAATCTGTGATAAAGAGACAAATGAGCCCCACCCAGCTACATTCTTCCTTCCCCTCCTCCTCCTCCCAATAGACCCCTCTCCAGCAAGGCCCAATGAATGCCCCTCCCACCACTTAAGGGAACCCCTTTTCCCCTAAGCCAGGCTCACTCTTCTTTTCCCCACGATGCAGAAACTCTCGAAGGCGATCAGAAGGGATGGCAAAGGAGATTCCAGCTGTGACCTTCATGGTATTCACCCCGATCACCTCCCCATCCTGCAGGGACAGAGCCCACTATTCCCTAGCCCAAACAAATGGTAAGAGATGAGGGTACCTGAACAAGAGTAGCAGGGAGTTGGAGAGATCTGGTTGGATTCTGGGAGACAGCCAACAAGGGACTGTTCAAAGCCTTGACCAAACATGGTTAAAGTAGGGAAATCCCACACTGACCTGGGGCAGGAATTCTTGGAGAGAAGGATGGCCCACTCACCAGGTTAACCAAGGGACCTCCAGAATTTCCAAACTGCAGGACAAGGAGAAAATATGGAAGAGATCCAGGGACTCTATGCCTGAGAGCATAACCAGGATGTAGGCATTTTCTTCAAATTCTTTTCCCAGCCCATGAATGAGTAACCATATTTTTGTAGCTCAACCCCAATATATAGGCTCATCCGCCATCTATCACACTTGGTGCCTGCACCACACAGCCTATCTCCCTCCCCCAACCTGGACTGTCAGTTCTCTCATATCAGGACGCACATCAATAGCTGCATCAGTCTGGATGTATTCCACATTGGCTTGAGGGAGGCCTAGGTCTCTAGCTGGACGCTGAGCGGAGCTGACGATGCCGGATGTGATCGTGTTCTGCAGTGCAAAGGGACTTCCCATGGCAACAACAAACTCCCCTTGCCGGACATCAGATGAGCGTCCCAGGGGCAGTGTGGGAAGAGGTTCCTAAGAATGAATGGGTACAAGGGACCTGTCATCTGGAAATGCGAGCAAATTCACAGTCCCAACCCAACCCAGCCTGCCCAGACCCCCACCTTGGTCTGAATCCTCAGCGTGGCGATGTCTGCCACGGGATCCACGGCTGTGACCATGGCTTCATACGTGTCGCCGCTAGGCAGCCTCACACGGACTCGGCGCCGATCAGCCACCACATGGGCATTAGTAACGATGAGCCCGTCAGCAGCCACCACGAATCCTGAGCCATTTGATATAGGGACTTCGCGGCCCGAGAAAGGGTGCCTGGGACGGGGAGAAAGCACGGATGTGAGGAGATCGTACCCCTCCTGGTCGCCTGCCCTCTAGCCCACAGCTTTGGTACCTCCAGGTCTACCCCACTGTTACCGGCCCAAGATCTCGATATAAACCACGGCAGGTGCCGTCTTCTCCACCACGTCTGCGATGAAGTTGTACTGGCTCCGGGGAGAGGTGGGCGGTGAGCCAAGGACAGAGGCAAAGACGGCCGGGGGACCCCGCCCCCCGCCCCACAACAACAGCAGCACTGCCCCCCCAACGCCCAGTGCCACCGCCAGCCACACGCGCAGACGGGCTCCAGGGGTCCCTGAGTCCTCCTGGGTCCGGGAATCTGGGGTCCCCGCTGTCAGCCGCGCTCGAGAATCCGAAGTCCTCGACGTCAGACATGTCCGTGATCCAGGCACCCCCACAGACAACCGGACCCGGACACTGGGGGTCCCATAAGTCACTCGGGTACGAGGGTCAGGAGTTCCTGACGTCAGTAGGACCCGGAGGTCAGGAGTCAACAGGGGTCCCTTCCCCCAGCGAATCCCCCCTAAAGCCCGCCATCCCCAGAGGCTACAGCCTGCACCCCGCCCCGCCCTCAGTGCAGCCATGAGCTCCGCCTCGGCTGCCTCCTCGCCCTCCCTACACAGAGGCGGCACCCTGGACGCGAGCTGGCTGACCGCGGGACGCGGGGCACGCCGGTACCTGAAGTCCTCCAGAAGTGCACGCCGGGACCGGGATTCCCGGAGCCCGACTCCGCCCCTGCCCCGCGAATGCCGGGAATTGTGGTCTCTGCGGGACGCGAGCTCTGAGGTGGCCCAAGGGCCCGCGAGGCATGCTGGGGCCGCTAGCCCTTCCGGGGCGCTTCAGGATTTCGGGTCCTGGCACCCTGGGCGGACGCCCGGAGACTCCGCCTTCCCAGGAGCCCCTGCGGCGGGGCGCAAAGATGGCGGCGGCGCCCGAACTCCCCTAGAGCAGCTGCGATGGAACCTCCCCCGGCGCCGGGGCCGGAGCGGCTCTTTGACTCGCACCGGTAAGAGTTCCGGCGGGAAGAGGGCATCTCCCGCGTCCATTCGGCCTTCGGCGCCTGATCACCCCACCTCTCGCCCCCAGGCTCCCGGGTGACGGCTTCCTGCTCCTCGCGCTGTTGCTCTACGCGCCCGTCGGGTTCTGCCTTCTCGTCCTGCGCCTCTTTCTTGGGATCCACGTCTTCCTGGTCAGCTGCGCGCTGCCAGACAGCGTCCTTCGCAGGTTCCGACTCGGGTGCTCGGCATAGGGAGGGGGGAGTCACGGCTGGGCCCGGTCCGAGGCCGTGCAGTCACCACTGTCTGCGTCCCCCAGGTTCGTGGTCCGGACCATGTGTGCGGTGCTGGGGCTCGTGGTCCGGCAGGAGGACTCAGCACTCCGGGATCATCGTGTCAGGGTCCTCATTTCCAACCACGTAACACCTTTCGACCACAACATAGTTAACCTGATCACCAGCTGTAGCACCGTGAGTCGGGGGCGAAGCCGAGAGCGCTATGGCCAGTTCCCTTGGGCCCAGCTCAAGGACCCCTTACTGCCCTCCCACAATTTCCTTGGGAACCAGGAGCTACTGACTGAGCCTTACCCCTAACCCCGCTTCTCTACTCCATATATTAGTTTTTATCACTTCCCAACATTCTTTTTTTCTTTCTTTCTTCCCTGTCCCCAGCCTCTACTCAACAGCCCCCCCAGTTTTGTGTGCTGGTCTCGGGGCTTCATGGAGATGGATGGGCGTGGAGAGTTGGTGGAGTCACTCAAGAGATTCTGTGCTTCCACGAGGCTTCCCCCAACCCCTCTGCTGCTATTCCCCGAGGAAGAGGCCACCAATGGCCGGGAGGGGCTCCTGCACTTCAGGTGGGTAAGCACAGGTATTGGTCTCTAACTGGGTAGGTAGGTGGTCAGGCTTGAGGAACCTTGGGTTTTCACAACCTTCTTCAGCCCTATACCCTCCATTCCTAGTTCATTTCTTTTCTACCTACTTAGGGTTCTTTCCTCTGAATCCCTTTATTCCCACATTTATCTACTTGTACAGTTTGAAAGTTTCCCATTTTTAGTTAGATATGAGCTGCTGATTGGGCTGGCTAGAATCCCATTCTACTCTCTCTTCATCTAGTTCCTGGCCATTTTCCATCCAGGATGTGGTACAGCCTCTTACCCTGCAAGTCCAGAGACCCCTAGTCTCTGTGGTGAGTGTGTATTGGTTGGTGAATCT